ATCTATTAGTAGAACAAAAGCCAGGCAATCAAATACTACACGTTTTAATCACATCCTCAGGGGGTGTGTGGGGGACCCTCATCCAATTGTAAGTGAACTAAAAAATAAGCATAGTCTATCCAGATGAGAAAGAACCAGAGGAAAAAATTCTGGTAATAGGAAAAAACAGTTTTTATAATATCCCCAAAGGATCACACTAACTCTCCAGAAATGGATCCAAACCAAAATGAAACCTTTGAAATATCAGAAAAAGAATTCAAAATATTGATTATAAAAGAAGCTCAATCACATCCAAGAGAAAGTTGAAAACCATAAAGAGAAATAAAAACAATCCAGGATATGAATGAAAAATTTTCTAAAGAGATAGCTACTTAAAAAAAAAAACCAAACAACTTCTGGAAATGAAAAATTCATTTAGAGAATTATGAAATACAGTGGAAAGTTTTAACAATAGACTAGCCCAAGCAAAAGAAAGAATTTCAGAGCTTGAAGACAAGTAAAAGACTTCCACAAGGAAAACTACAGAATACCAATGAAAGAAATCCTAGATGACACAAATGGAAAAACATCCCATGGTCATGGATTGGAAGAATCAATATCATTAAAATTATTGTACTGACCAATGTAATCTACAGATTCAATACAATTCCTATCAAAACACCAACATCATTTTTCACAGTATTAAAATAAACAGTCCTAAAATTCATATAGAACCAAAGAAGACCCTTAATAGCCAAAGCAATCCTAAGCAAAAAGAACAAAGCTCGAGGTATCACATTACCTGACTTCAAATTATATTACAAGGCTATGGTAATCAAAACAGCATGGTACTGACATTAAAAATAGGCACATCGGCCAATGGAACAGAATAGAGAGCCCAGAAATAAAGCTAGATACCGATAACCCACTGATCTTTGACAAAACAGACAAAAACATGCACTGGGGAAAGGACACCCTTTTGAATAAATGGTACTGGGAAAATTGAATAACCACATACAGAAGAGTCAAACTGGTTCCCTGTTTCTCATCATATACAAAAATTAACTCAAGATGGATTAAAAGCTTAAATGTAAGACCTGATACCATAAAAATTCTGGAAGTCTTAGGGATAATTCTTCTGAACTTTGGGCTAGGCAAATAACTTACGACTAAGACCCCAAAAGCAAATGCAATAAAAATAAACAAATGGGACTTAATTAAACTAAAATGCTTCTGCACAGCAAAAGAAATAAACAGAGTAAACAAACAACCTACAGAATGAGAGAAAATAGTTGCAAACTATGCATCTGAAGAAGGACTAATATCTAGAATCTATAAGGAACTCAAACATTAAAAACGGAGCCAGGTGCGGTGGCTCACGCCTATAATCATAGCACTCTGGGAGGCCGAGGCGGACGGATTGTTTGAGCTCAGGAGTTCGAGACCAGCCTGAGCAAGAGCAAGACCCTGTCTCTACTAAAAAAATAGAAAGAAATTATTTGGACAACTAAAAATATACATAGAAAAAATTAGCCGGGCATGGGGCACATGCCTGTAGTTCCAGCTACTCGGAAGGCTGAGGCAGTAGGATCGCTTGAGCCCAGGAGTTTGAGGTTGCTGTGAGCTAGGCTAACACCACGGCACTCACGCTACCCAGGGCAACAGAGTGAGACTCTGTCTCAAAAAAAAAAAAAAATAGACAAAGGGCTGGGCATGGTGGCTCATGCCTGTAATCATAGTACTCATGGAGACTGAGGCAGGAGGATCGCTTGAGGTCGGGAGTTCAAGACCAGCATGAGCAAGAGTGAGACCCTGTCTCTCCTAAAAACAGAAAAAAAGTTACCCAGCTGTGGTGGTGCACGCCTGTAATCCCAGCTACTTGGGAAGCTGAGGCAGGAGTATCACTTGAGCCCAGGAGTTTGAGGTTGCTGTGAGCTAGGCTGACGCCACAGCACTCTAGGCTGGGCAACAGAGTGAGACTCTATCTCAAAATAAATAAATAAATAAATGTGGACAAAAGACACAGACATTTTTCAAAAGACAACATACAAATGGTCAAACATGAAAAAATGGTCAACATCACTAATCAGAAATGCAAATTAAAACCACAATGAGATACCATCTTATTCTAATGAGAATGGCCATTATTGAAAAGTAAAAAAAAAATAGATGTTGGCATGGATGTGAGAAAAAATAACTCTTGTACACTGTTGGTGAGATGTTAGTACAACCTTTATGGAAAAAGTTCTTAGGGTATGGAGATTCCACCAAGAACTAAAAATAGATCTGCCATTCAATCTAGAAAATCCACTACTGGGTATCTACCCAAAGGAAAAGAAATCATTATGTCAAAAAGATACCTGCATTTGTATGTTTATTACAGCACTGTTAACAACACCAAAGACATGGAACCAACTTGTGTCCATCAACTGATGATTAAATAAAGAAAATGTGACATATATATATCATGAAATACTACCCAGCCATAACAAAGAATGAAATCATGTTTTTGCAGCAACGATGGAATTGGAGGCCATTATCTTAAGTGGAATAATGCATACACAGAAAGTCAAACACCACATGTCCTCACTTATAAGTAGGAACTAAATGATATGCATACATGGACAGTGGAATAATAGTCATTGGAGACTCAGAGGGGCGGGAGGGTAGAAAGAGGTGTGGGATGAGAAATTACCTAATGGATACTATCTACACTAACCAGGTGAGGGTTATACAAAAAGCCCAGACTTTGCCACTATGCAATATATCCATATAACCAATCTGCACATGCATCCTACAAATAAAATAAAAAAGAATCTAGGCCATTTCTAGATTCCTGGGAGTCAGCCCAGTACTAATCAGTAATAACAGTGATAGTTTATTCTCTTTATGCCTTACTCTGGGCCTGTCAGTTAATTGGTTTTAAACTTGAGTGTGAGATTGAGGGGGAGGAATATTATATACTTCGGAATTGCTAAAGGAGTAGATCTTAAATGTTCTCACCACAAAAAAAAAAAGTAGGTGACGTGATAGATATGTTAATTAGCTTGATTTAGTCATTCCACAATGTATACAATATATCAAAATCATATTGTACCCCATTAAC